AATTAAGAAAAAAATAAAAAAGTTATAAATAATAATAAATTGATTAACAATAAAAATATTAAACGTAAAATATTTAAATTTCTTGAAAAATAAAAATTTTAATTTTATAATTATCTTGAAATATTATCAAGTAGTTTAATTTATTTTTTAATGATGAAATTGCTCTTCCAATAACATCTTTCATTAAGTTATTATGTTTATGTCATAACATCACATTTTTTAATATTTTTAGTTGTATTATCATTTCATTTATGATATTTGGGTAATTGTTAATACCAAAAAAAAAAAAAAATGATACTTGAGTAATTAGATCAAACTTATCATAATTTTTTCTTGGTTAAATGCTAAATTTGGTCCCTCAACTTTAGTGAGTTGCACATTTTTTGTCCCTTAATAATTTTTTGCATTTTTTTGATCCCTCAACTTTAAGAAATGCACATCGTTAGTCATTCTGTCAATTCAGACCGTTAACTACAACACGTGGCATTTTTTATAATTTTTTTTGATGACATGACAAAAACAATTTAAAAAAACGTTGATTTGGAATTTTTTTTAAGACACGTCATCGCTAACTCATAAATCGATTTTACCTTAATAAAAAAATAAAAAATTACAAATTTACCCATCTCCCTTTCTTGATCCATCTTCTTCCCCTCTTTCGATCATCTTCTTCCTTTCTTTTTTTTCTTTTTCTTTCTTCCTCTTCTTTCTTCCTCTTCTTCCTCTATGTCTGCTGGGTTCGGTGGAACCCAGCAACTGGGTTCACCGAAACCAACTGGGTTCCTCGAACCCAACAGATCTGGGTTCGGTGGAACCCAGTTTGCTGGGTTCCAGCTGGGTTTGAGGAACCCAGCTCGGGTTCGATGAACCCAGTTTGCTAGGTTTGGTGGAACCCAGGCTAGGTTCCGTCGAACCCAGCTCCAATTTTTTGTTTTTTTTTTTGTTTTGTTATATGTTTGTTTGCGAAGATTATCCAAGTTGCAGGTTGTAAGGGATTTTTGGATCCTTTTCTTCATATTTTTTAAGTATTGTCTAAATGATTTTAATGTTCAAAATAGAAAGAACAGAAGCAGTTGGGCAAAAAAGCAATTCTTAGTGGGTTTTCATTTGTTTGGCTGGAAAATGGTATGGTTTGGGTGTTTGGATGCTGAGAAAATGCTTTAAATTTGTTTGGTTGCCGAGATTAGTTAC